ACATTTGACAGTTGTTGAAGATGAAACCGATGAACTGTAATCCGTTTTTATGTCATTGGCAGTAGGCTTTGTAGGGTCATTTTCCAATGTTTGTTGCAAATGATTTGGGCACATTAAGGATTTCACAACTTTAGTAGTTGCAAGTGTTGGACCCATTTTATGTATAGTTTTATCTTTATGTTTGCGACGTATTGCAGATGGTGCAGTTGAATTGCGATCCTCTTTTGTATGACTAATATCAGTATCAATACAAACTTTTGTAAGACCAGATCTTCGCAGCTTTACCACTCGATTGACAGTTGGTAAAAGATATGGTGAAGCAACTGATCTTGAAAATGGTTCGATATTAGTGGATGTTTCTGCAACTATCGAAACTTCATCAGACACTCCAACTTTTCGATATATATTATAGGGGTTCATATTAAATGAGGTTTTAGTAATACTTCCCATACTTAAGTGGATCAAGCGATTTGCCGTCGATATAGAAAACGATTTAGGTTCCTCTTTAATTGGACCTACAGTAGTTTCGGCGCAAACAACAACTATAGATGACGAATTTTGGTGCTTGTTTCTTGGATATGTTGAGGCAGTTGTTGAGGCAGTTTGCGTTACCTTAGTTGACTTAGCTGCCATAATTACAAAAATAACTAATATTCAAACCTTGGTGTGTTTGTGGTAATTAATTTTTTGTCTTTCTAGTTGAAATAAAAAAATAATATATTCATTATTAAATGACAAGTTCAAATTTAAATGTCAAGTGTATATTTGTATGTAAAATCACACATAAATTTATTTACACGTAGTAAATTTTATTAATACGTACATATAGACAGCCTTCGATAAATTCTAATCCAATTCAATTCCCATTTAGGAAGCCGATGTTTCAGCTAATGTGGTATGTCAATTGCAGTACAATTGTGAGACAAACCGAAAGCAGAAGTTATTTATATTATTGTACTATGCTAACCAAAAAAAAAAAATAATACTCGTATACCGGACAGCTGGAACTATGTCTATATCAAGACCGATATCGACATCTGTCAAAAAAATAAATAATTTTCCTCTTCAATCGCAAAGACTGGTTTTCAAAACCATCTGTATATTTCTTGCTTTCTCTAATGAACACTCCATTAGAGAATGGTTGATTTACATTACAAAATCAAGGGATTTAACGTACTATATGCTCTTAATATTAGTGTACAGGCCCCACCAAATCTAAAGGACAGAATACTCTGTTCTTTAGATCAAGTGGGCTCAATCAATTATCTGCACCACAGATAGCCTTATGCAAAGGAGAACTAAGCTCTTTGCCAATAAAATAAATGCGTAGTGAGTCGACTTGTTCGTCTTGTTATATCGAGCACTCCTCTACCACCAATAATTCTCGGTAGACATATCCTTTCCGCAGCAGATTTTGGATGACGCATGCGAAAGTCGCACATTAAAGTTCTGATATTGCGTTGGATTGCTGCCAATTCCGTGGGTTTAGTGCCATACAAAAGCAAAGAGGACTCAGCTAAAAAATACCTCTTCAAAAATACCTCTTCTTATTTGTATGACGTCTGATAACTTGACGCCATCAGCCGTAGGTACCGATAATATGGTGCTCCACCCTTTCATGACTACCGTCAAAGCTTTGATTAACTCAGGATCTATATGGTAAAGGCGTAAGACATTGATCAGCCAAGAATGTGGGATTGTGTTTGGCATCTATCCACTCTGCATGCAGAGCATGGACTTTGGATGATTCTCACAGCGCACTCCAATAGTTGTTTGCTTAGGTAATTGAGAAAGATGCATATTGTCTAGTACTGTCAGTTGAACTAAGTATAGAGAAGAACCGACGTTGATTTTTTATATATATAGAGTTCTGAACACGTCTGGCGCGTGACTCTCTATACCTCCGTAAGCGATTACAAACAACAGAGAGTTTTATCTTCAAAATATCCATAAACTCTACAACTGTTGTGTCTCTATGAATAGAAAACTGCCCGTATATTTTTACTGCACATTTCTTTAATCTACTATTTGATCGAATAACATTATATGCTGTTAGTTGATCAATGTGTTTACGTAAGAAATCTGGACGACGCTCAAGATGAGCCATCCATGGCGGAATACGTTTTTGGCCCGCATCAATAGCAGTCGTTTCGATTTTTTGATCATGCAACCTTATTGCTGTTACTGCACCACAATACACAAGAGCTTGTAAGTGTAGAAGTGTAGTATCAGCATTTAGTCGAGATAAGATTTCGCTATTTATCTGGGATAGAATATTTTGCGTTGCATTGGTTGTATGGAGCCTAGTAATTTTAGGCCGATATAACGGATCATTTTCAAAGTATTCCAAGTATGCTGTCTGAAACTCGTCTCGGATATTACTCGAGATATCAGCTGGGCGATGAAGTAACGTGCTGCGGTGAGTATGGTATTGAATGTTCACAGGACTAGAGCAGCGTATAGCCACTGAATCTGTACTATCAACCACTAACTCTTCGGTACAAGCTGTTCGGGTAACTTTGAGTCGAATGCGGTCCCTGGTAGAAGCTGGAATCTTGTTGCTTCGCACAATGAAACGGTATTGAACTGAGACTCTCTGAGCAGTGACATGCGAATATTGGGGAAAATGTTCAGCAAATTTTTAATGTAGCATGGGACGGTATGATGTTAAGTCCGTCAAAGTAATTTCATAGTAAGCACGGATAATGAAGGTATTTATTTCATTTATTCATTGTATTACCTTTCTCAAAAGTCTTACAATAAATGAATGTGTTATTTTAATAAATGTGGGTTCATTGTTTAAGTAAAATTTCATTTTCCTGGAGCTTCAAAATCAATATTTATTTTTTTAAGTCTATTACAATGCTTTCAAAGTACTCTAGTCCAAATATAATAAACTCGTTCCAACGTTTTGTCTCATTCTGGAAACAATTGTTAAAGTCAATTTTCGGTCAATTTTCGTGTCTGTAGCGACAAGATTTCTATTCTATTCTGTAAAAACAAAATTTTTTCTTTGACAAATTTGGTCATTTTTTCTTGACTTCCTCATTCAATCGATCTAATCATATGCAATATTAGTCTAACATTATTGTTTTTCCTTATTCCAAATAGTGTATGAACATTATTCCACTTGAATCCCAAAATACGAAAGACAAAACTTTTCTAGCTGATTGTTGAGTTCGTGGTCGTTTAGGAGCACTCCCCTCGGGTTCTAGCCATTCTCTCTACCCCGGGTTTGTCGTTTTCCCTTAGGAAGATATAATAATCACTTAAGAGGAAAGATATAAAATTTTATTGTGTCAATCGAATTATTATAGACAAAACTAATATCGACTATTTTAAGTTGATAAAATATAGCAATATAAAATATTTCTAATTAGTTTAACAAAGAAAAAACAAAGAAAAAATGCTCTATTCAAAACATCTTTCGTGGTCCAATATGAACATAGGGCCCATAGTTAGAGCGTTAAAATGCATGCATCATTGAAACATGAAACAATCAATTATTTCGATTTCTTTAATACTGATTGAGTATGACGTACACGAAACTTTCCCAAATTCCGGAAAGAATTGTTCTTTCAATCAAAAATGACAATAAATCTAAAAAAAATGGACAACATATGATTTCATATGATTTCAACCGAAAGTCTTTTTGATGGCTGGGATCTTCTCAAATCATTCCAAAGAGGTGCTTTTAGTGACCTCAAGTGTCACACTATGGGTTTCGTTGCATTCCACTTATATAAAAAAAAATTAGGTTGTATCTAATCTATTATTTATTTTTTATTTATTAAGTTTCTAGTTTTCAATAGTCTCAGTAATTTAATATTGTCTTCATATTGCAAATATTATAAAGAAATATTTTTGGCTACAAACGAAACAACTTTCTCTTTGTATTATATCCATCCCTTTCTCTTCTGTGCTCCATGAACCATCATTTAAGTAATTGCCTAAATGTCATGCTCAACTACCCAGGTTACTGTACCATTTGCTAAAGGATAAGGACTAGCATTTAGGAATACAAATACAAATATATTATTTAACAGATTATTATTCGAAAAACTCAAAAATATGTTTTAGATTGTATTATATGTGCGGGTACAATAAATATAACAATAAAAAGATTCACATTAACAGTTGTTTGAGTAAACCTTCATTTCCCAGTTCTGATTACCGATTACTTTGCTCAACCGATTATTACACTAGATCAAGATATCATCAAACATCGGTCTATCATAATAAAATGTATTAATGTTACACTGATTCTATTATTGAACACTGGATCTATTCGAATTTAAACTCGGTGTTGTGTTTGAGTATTTTATACAGACTGAATTGCTGTCAGAAACAGTTTTTAATTAAATAATTTTTGTTTTCAAATATTTCTTTGGAACAGGTCTTAAGTGCCATTTTCCATATGAAGTTCATATTCTTAAAGAAATCAACATATATCTAAATGACAAATGAACGATATTCATTTACATACTAGTCTATTTGATTTAATATGAGACTTTTGTGGCTTATGCCAAGAAGGAAATACAGCATAATCAAACCCCCAACTATTGTGAAAATGTCCAGTTCTTGCAATAAATATGGCTATAATTTATGGAAAATTCCTTTGGAGAATCTCGGATAACAAAAACTGATGTCTAAGAATTCGAAAAATTTTCAAAGTAAATAATTTATTTACTTATTTATTTACTACGTTAGTATAATACAGATAGTTCTTGAATCAGTCATAAATATATCTTGGAGGTACGGTATGAAAGGTGTTCAATTCAAAAAAAAGAATTATTTCTCATGTTTCCCAAATATATTTATATATGCATATTATGTATATTATTAATAAAGAAGAGATTGGTCAAAATGACAAGTGTAAAACATGCAATGAAAACTAATTAAAAAAGTAATCATTATGAAAATTAAAATAAATCGAGAGACACTAATCTGTCAAAAGTATGGTATATAGTTTGCTTCAATTTTGTCTTTCATAGCGGTGAGTTGGGATTTGAACGCAAAAAAAGTCATGAATAAAAAATATAAAATCGCGAAAAAATTCAAAATTGAAGACGCACCTTCGAGCAATCTTCATCATTCATTGCAAACTATTGATGTAAGTGGTATAGAAGGTTCAACTTTGGTTAAAAATGAACTTCCGGAGTACGAAATACTCAGTGACATGAAAATGAGTGATAACAGTTTTGAAAGGCCCTTTCGAAATGATAATGTTAAGGTGGAACACAATTCGCCAAAGTACATCGTAACGCCAAATGAAATTAAAAGAGAAGATTCTGACAATGAATATGAAGATGTAAATAGCACTTCGTCAGATTGTGAAATATTAAGTGATATGGATGAGGTGTATAGTGTGTCGTCTTCGGACGATACAATTTCTGGACATTCTTCTCACTATGAAATGGAACATAATATCGAATGCGAATATAAGCTCCATGAAAATCCAATTTATCTAATTTATCCAATTTATCCAATTTTTGATAACATCAATTATTTTGATGACATGTGCTTTACTTCAGGCTTAGAGAATATTGTAGAAGTATGCTTACCATTAACTCTATTGTTCTTAATAAATTCACTTAATTTCCTAATTGTTTATGTATTTAATTACGACTGCTTATGTGTCATATCTCATTAACTTTTACTTTTAGTATTCGATGGAAGAGTTTGAGAAATGCACTCGTCGTTCGCAGGAAATTGTACTTCAATTCTATAGCTGCATGAAGGGAGATCGAACAGTAAGTCTATGAAGATAAATTTTGAAACCAAACGAATAATTTAATTTATGATAATCTTAGCGAATCCCTTCTTTATATGACAAGAGCTGTTCTTTGATTTTTGATTCACAAAAATTTGATGGTGTATTCTCCATTGCGTATTTTTACTTAAATCTGCCAAAAACTGAATATCAAATACTGCGAGTAGTTTGCAAATTAACAAATGAAGTCATTACATTGTGCGGTTTTGCGTATGAGGTTAGAGTGACTGGTACACTCGAAATTGGAGAGGAGGCTTCCAAATGGTTCCGCCATAGATTCATAATTGCTGAGTACGAAGATAGATGTAGAATCGTTTATGAAGAATTAGTATACTTCAATCCTGTACTTATACCAAGAATCAAGGTATGTTCGCTAGCAAAATAGCATTATTATAGAATGATTTAATGGTGTGTTTCTTTCTTAGTCTTAAGTTTGATATTCTAAATACTTCTATTTTATGTGATACTATATGTGGAACTACCATATTATATACATTTACAATTCAATTATATTCTCCTTTATACTGAGACTAGTACAACTTTAGTATTATTGCTTTTGTTACTGTTGAGTTTAGTTGAGTTGAGCCAAAACGTATTAAAATATTAAATTATATTTCGTTTTGGTTCAGCGCTTGCCTTTCGACTACATCCTTAGTAAGAGATCCAACTATTAATATAGATTGTTTGAAATTCAATTTTGAGATATATATTTAATTATCTTAATTATTTACATTTAAAGAACTTTATCTAAATTTGAAATGAAGCTCCGAACATGATTAGATTTCTTCATGACTATCTGATTGTTATGTCCAAATGTCTCTTGTCTGCTATTGGAATATATAGTGTTCTGGCGACAATGCTCCATCAAAATTAGTGATTACTTGATAGTTTGCGTTACTTGCAGGTCCCTTATTTTCTTCTTAGTTAAGAAGTAATTCTGTTTCCACAATATTTACATTGATATTTTTTATGAACTTAACCTTTTTACTTTTACCTTTTTTTTATGCACTACATATGTATCTGTAAAGGCAGAAATCCCTTTTTCTTATCACATTTTTAGTGATGGCTGTAGGGACAGCAGATCATATAATGTAGAGTGAAATATAAATTTTACTTTGGTTAAGGACTATGGACGAATTTCGGATTTGTCACTGTAAGCCAGAATCTAAAAGGCGTGAAGTGATCAGTAGCAATGCAACGATAGTTGAAGGATTGGAAAAATTTGTCATTTAAAAAAATTATTGCAGAGAGCAGAGGATATCAGCTTAACATATTAGTTATTTAAAAAAAATAATTTTTATTTACATTTTCAAAGTTTTTGAGTTGTTTTTGAAGAAAACTCACTTTTTTCTTACATTATTCAAATACTGCATCATGTGATTACATATAGCGCCTAGAATAGCGATAACTTTTTCTTGTGTATAAAATTAAAAAGCGCTTATAGGTCATATATCTCACAAGAAGTTCATTTATCAATCTGAACTTCTTTTATAAAAAGAAGTTTATCTCGGGAGTTTTAGACATATAGACATATCTCCGGATGTGTGAATGACCGAGTCTGAAATGTTGTGCGTTTTGAAAGTAATTAATAGAACATTTCGGTTGTACTTAAAATCTACTAGATACCACCAGATGAATATTTGGCGGTATCTGAAACAATTGTATGACTCTATTGAATAGAATCAAATTATTGGATATAAAAACTTCTTCAGTGTTACAACTTTTACAAGCATAATAATTCAATACTAATATTCTATTGCAATATATTTCGTAAATATTTTTAGTTAACGTTCACACAATTTGAAGAATCTTTACTAAAATCAAATAATATGGTGTTCCGTTTTTATGCCTCGTTTAACAAACACCCAATGGTTAGTAATTTTATCTCAAATTCTTTCATTTCTTACTAACATTTATTATTTTATTATTAATATTTAGCAGGTTGTAGACTATTATCACAAGAAAGCGTTTGTTGCCTTTGATTACACACTTTACCACGGTAAAATCAAGTTCACTTCTTTATATGCAAATCTCCCAAGAATGAGATTCTTAGTAGCGCGTATCACTACCTTGGTACCTGAGGAATGGGATGGATTAAAACATATAATAGTTGTACGCGGTACAGTTCGTGTCTTGGGAAACGAAGATAATGAACAGTGGTTTGAGCAAACTTTTTCTGTGTACTACATCCATACAAGCTTTTCAATTACTAGTAGCCGATTTAAATATAGTGACCCAATACAAGGTAGTTACCAAGTCTCTATACAAAATATATTCAAACACTGAAAATTACATCAATTTCAATTTCAAATTTGATTTTATATTTTGTAGATGTAGCTCCTGCTGTCAAAGAATATTCAGATATGTACTCAGATAGTGCTGAACAAGTCCAGTTCGAACGTCTATACGGGGTAATCTTAAAATCATATTTATAATTTAAATACTTAAATAGTTTATAAAATCTTCAATCATCCCAAATTTTTGAATAAACTTCACATATGGTATTGTTAATTGTGTTTATAGCCAAAATTCGAGAAGTGGGCGAAGTGTGTACGTCGATCAGACATATATGTTTTTATGTTCTATAAATTTATGGACGAGGATCGTGAGGTAAATTCTTAAATATTAATATTTTTATTCATTAATTATATTTGTATCTTATTTTTGTAGCGTCTCTTTAATTGTTACAATGAGACCTCAACTCTTAAATTTCTTGAGAAAACCTACAGGGGTTTACACTCCATTAAGACTTTTTATTATAGTATTGCCTCTACAAAGCATAAGATCAAGCACATTGCTGTGGAATTCATACCTGAAGTGGTGGTAGAAGGTGCTCTGTGTTACTCAATCGATGTGCTAGGGATTGTCACGTTTGATAAAGATACTTATAAGTGGTTTAAGCAAAATCTGCTAGTGTTGTTCTATGAGACGCGTTTTAACATACGCAGAGACTGTTTTCAATATTATTATCATGTGCGTGAAAATCCGAAAAAAATTGTGGCAGATTAAATATAAAACCTAACTTATTTCCTTAATGTTAAGCACAATTATGAGAAAACAAGCAACGAAATTAATTCATTCAATAAATTTTGTGTTAAATAAAATCAAATTTTTGGGGTCTTGCAAATTCTTAAAATGTGTTTCAATTGTTTTTCATAAAAGAATATATTCTTCCTATGCATTCCTAAGCAAGTGAAACCATGTCGGCTTTTTTAATAACTTTTCTCCATTCCATCGCTATTGACATTTTGCTTCCAGATTTTTACATCTTTTCTAAACAAATCACCATTAACACTATCGATCCACTGACCTCTTGCTTGTTCAAATAACCGTCTATTGTCTAATTTGCCAAAACAGATTATATTTATTACAACACTTCAATTATTTTTTGCTACACGGTCTGCCCATCATACCCAATAAAATTTGATTTGTGTACTTAGTATAGCATAATTCACAACGCAGAAAATAATGTAAGGGGCGCAGTCTTATATATAATGTACATATATATTAAAACTTTTTATTATAATGTTTTTCTGAACTCAAAACTAATTCAAATTTGATAGAGGTTTTATACGAGCTAGTATATTAATTGACGCTTTATTTATATATGAAAAACCATATCCTAAAATATTTTCAATATATATCCGTCTTTTATGTAACGGTTTTGCACTATATTCAATATTTTCTGAGGTTTTGTATAAAATTTTTTACATCATGCTTTGCGAATTTGTAGATGTTCGAACCATCTGCCAAACTTTTTGTGTGACTGCAACTCCCATTCGGTCAACTGCGCCTTTTCCATGGGAGGTGGCAAAAATATTCCATTCTAAGAATTTTGGTTCCTATTCTTCAACCAAACTTGGAATGCTGCTTACAATATATTTATTTTTAGAATATAAATAATTTTGTCAATTATAAAGTTTGTTATGGGTAAGTTTGTCGTTTACAATTGCATGGGACTTGATTTTTCTACAAACCCAAGTAACTTGTGTATACAAAAATAAGCTGACCGGACTTCATTTTGAATAATAAGATAGTAATTTTCAGCAAAATCTAATTATAGTATAAGGTCACCAGTGAGAATGCTCCTTTTATTTTCGAAATATTTTTGCTGTGGTTGTTTGATAAAGCAATGCTATTTGAAATGAAACAAATGCAACTCCAAGGCTAAAATGAGATACAATACTTAGACCTCTGTTTGATTCAATTTCTTGTGGATTTAAAGACCTGTATATGCCTCAGGTACCGATGTTTCTTGTTCTATCTATATATTTCGGTAACACATTCTTTGACGCTCACGTCCAGCAGACTTTATTTTTAATAAGCCATTTTTTCCTATACAAACGTATGGGAAGCTGAGATGTTTCCCTGGTTCCTTTTTCCAAAACTTGTTCGCTATAACATTTTCTAAAATTTTATTTCGCTATTTTTTGGATCTTTCTGCAGTTGTGAGTACTTGGTATTGTATCTAAAAAATACAAAATCAGTAAGCGACTCTAATTAAGGGAATATCCCCGTTCGTACATCACTTACTTTCCACCAATGAATTGAGTTGATTTCTTTATATTGTCTGATAATATTGATTTCAATTAAATTAAACACCAAAAATTAACTTTTAAGAACGATCTACTTTTTTATTACAATTTCATTTACAAATTTTACGTTATATGTAACTTCAATGCTTTGTCTGATTGTATGTTCGATAACCATCATCTTTATTACAACTTTTAGCACTTGCACTTGTAAAAGATTCCGAGAAAAGAACATTTATACTCGAATCCGTCATATAAAAAACTTTTTTTAGAACAAGAAAAACTGTAATGAATATCGAAATAAATTAAAATTAGACGATCAATCAAAACTATTAAAAATTTTTAATTATAACGCAAATTTATAAAAAAATTAAGTTTGAAATACAAAGGTGGAAATATAAATAAATGCATAGAGTTAAAAACAAAACAAATGTGCACAAGAAAAATGTGACACCTAATCTGGCAGACCTTTATCTGGACTTGCCCATATACGAAATTGGCATTGAAATTGCCCGATTGACACTCTACGTATCATGCATTTCCGAAATTGGCCCGAAAGAGCCAATTTTGCTGTGTCCGTGACACTCCACATAATACTGCCCTCAACGATAGTGACATGATTCTGTATACCATACCTTTTGACCATTACCAATAAAAAAGCGCAAAAAAGCAAAATTCCGGTGACTATTCGTCATATGGCGGTCACTGTAACGTGGCTTCAACATTAAAACAGGATTAATTTAACAGCATAAAAATTATAAACATTCCTAATGGAATGATAAGAGAAGGTACGTAACTGGAAATATGTTTCAAATATAAAAAGGATCATAATTCATAAAAAAAAACGTTTAAACAATTTTAACAAAAGCATTTTTTTCGATACCGAAATATTATGACAGGTCCCTGGATGAAAAAATGTAGTGAATAATTTATATTAAAGTAAAATTGAAATCAATTTTGAACACATTTTACTTACCTTATCAAATAAAATTAGAGCAAACCTAATGAGAATTATAATTACTTTCGGTGTACTCTTTATATATAACGTGACCTTGACTGTGTCAATCGTAATCGTATATCACCTTTTACCAATATAAGCAAGGTAATTACGTTATTTAGTTTCTTATATTAGTTACTGATACATTAGATTTAAAAAAGTTTCATAATGAATTAATTTTTAGTATGAAATATTTTTATGTTTAGTGAAACGAATTCTTCGGCTGACCATATAGTTGTTTCAAATATTGCCAAATGTTCAGCATTGACACCCGTTTACTCATTTCGCACATTCAGCAGTTGGTAAAGATCAATTATTGTAAACTGATAAATCTTAATCTGAACATATAGTGCCCTGGATGATACTTCATGAATATGAAACGAACAGCTTTATATATTTGTATATTGTTTTGGTGCATCTTTTAGTTGTAATATTCAAAACACACTTTTCCTGGATTTTTGTTTATTTACACATTAAATGGTGTATGGATGTCGGGAATTCTAGAATAAGTTTTGAGTAGAGTCTATGGCTTTCAACGTGAACGCATAGTTAATGCTCACTTGCTATTAACCATGAAATCATAATGCAGTTAATAGACACATCAATATACCGCGACGATTAACGCTCTCATTGGAATTCCTGGGAAATCCGCCTACTCCAATAGAAGCTATACGTTTGTGTGCAGGATCATCAATGGTGATAAGCCTGGCTCATCTAACACCGTCACAGTGTTTCAGGTTTTAACTACAACTATGACCTTACTCCCATTGAAAATGTTAACTAGTCAGGACAATACTATATTCTCTGTGAGTGCTGACTCTCCTGGCACTAGATTTATACCTCCTGTCGGATGCTACAAGTAAAACTCATTGACTTCCAACCGTATCTGGTGGCGCCTATTGAATTTTGGTTATCTCTTACGACAGGCATGCCTCACCATGGGATTATTTTAGCCCCTTTTGTTTCGGCAAGATTAATTATGCAATGTGAAAAATACCAATAACATAAGTGATATTGTTTGTGGTTTGGATGAATAAATGCAATCTGTCTTATAAAATATCTTTACGTTATGTCACAATTGATAAGCTTATTTTATCTTATTATTTATTATTATTTGACTTAGAACTTAGCAAATACATTTCCTTCAAGTTGTGCTCCCGAGACGCTTTGGAAATTCTCGACTGTGATATAATTAGACAGTGTATATAAATTGCACTTGCCACTTGCCTATTTATACGATCATTTCTTATTCTGTCACATCTAGTTTTCTCCTATGAATTCTTTATTAAACTGTTTATTAAATGTACTTTGTTGACTACCATTCTGTTAAGTGTGGTACACCTAGTTAAAAGGCTGTGTTAAAAGATTTAAAGTTTTTTTTTTCTGTTTATAAATATCCATAAGTACAGAGTACTTACCTAAGGTGTAAACCGATCATTCTTATTTATATTTATTTAAAACTTACTCAATTTACATATTTCTTACCTGATATACACTATTGCATAGTATAATGTATGGTGAATTAATATAAAATTAATGTATGTCATTCTTTTGTTTAACTACAGAGTGAGTATTATTCTACTCTTGCTCACATCCTACACAGTCGGTTAAGGTTGCCATTGTATAAAAAAAAATATTACATATGTCTTCATTTTATGTGTTTTGATATTCATTGTTGTCCATGAGATAGAACGGGGACGGCAATCCACTGTTTGGGTCTTCCAAAGTATCAGAATCCGACAAAAGTTATCCGCGAATGGAGCAAATCTAAGCAAATGGTCGGATGTGTTTTCAGAAACAACAGTCATGTCACAAATGTACCACTTGAACAACATAAAACGGTCAATTCTTAGTAGTACGCAACTTTGTCGAAAGTCTTCAGAGAATTAACAGCTCTAACAAAATAGTTATTAAGCACACAAAATATCGAATTGATAGGTCATCTACCTTACTGTCCAGACTTGGCTTTTTCTTACTCCCTAACAATAAGAAAAAAATTCTTTGCGTGCGTTTTCCTAAGCCCGAACATACCACCCTATTTAGACATTTAATATCCTGGTTTTGGATATTCAAGTTTAGAATGGTAAAACTGTTTCAAGAATTGGTCAGTCGACTACCAACATATATTGATCATGCAGAATATTTCGAAAAACAATAACCAAAAACCATTTTCACTGATTAACTACTGCGTTTTCATTGCTAGGCGAAAGACTTAAAAGGTCACCCTCATACGATCAATTCGGTTAAAAAATACTAATTTCACAGTTGCTGCGTATTTACTTCAAAAACAGACATTTTTACTAAAATCTTCATTATTATAATCTGTAGTTTGTAACTATTACTATTCTTATTTTACATATATTCATAACATTCCTACAACAAACAATCTCACTGAACACCTACAAATCGTTAACAGGGTCGAAAACGCCACATGTATGAGCCATGCAATTCACCACAAAGACCTACTACTCAATTTTCTAGAGATATACCCTAGGCAACAAGAGGCACAAAAGTCTAGGTGCACACTTTCAAAAGCTTCCTCCGGAAGAACCGATTCGTTTCCTCGATATACTAAACTTCTAAATACATGGGCGCACAATAGGTCAAGCTGGTCGCAGTTCATAAAGGCTTAACAACCTAAAGTCAAATTTCACAACAGCCGTTCAGTTCGGAAACAAAATTCAAAATTAAAGGTGTTTGCGTTCGAAACAAAAGATCTTGCCTAAATGTAACCATTATAGACGCTTAGTAAGATCAAATAAAAACAAAGTACACATTAGAAATTTCAAATTCTTCAGATTATACAAAACTACAGTCAATAAAAATTAACTAAAATTCTTGAAACATTAATCACGTATGTTTTGCTTGAAATGTTCAGTTGAGTTTATTTTTTTTTATCATTGGTTAACATTCGTACACATAATACCGAACTCAATCAAACTTTCTTAAAGTTAGACGTTCATCTCTCTACAGAAAGGCAAGTATTGACATGGTCGCCTTATTAAAGATGTCTTTCTAAAGTCTCTTTAAAGACATGTCAGTTGAAACTAACTAAAATAATTTCATACTTTCAGTTCTAAAACCTGTATGATATCGGCTGTTGAGTTTTAAAACTTTAGACAATGGATCATCACGCCGAAAAAAAGTTTGATATGGTAACACCAACTGTGGAAGAGTCCCAAGGTGAAATCATTTATTTCAACATAACTGTAACTTCAAATAATTAATCTGTCTTTAAAGGTGCACAGCCTCAAATACCAAAAGCAGATGCTTTCACCGAGATGACTTATCCGTTAACTCATCAGATTCTAAAAACATCTATTAAGGCTCCGGAAGAAGTGTCGCAATCTCAGACAGAGATTCAACACGACAATTCTGGTCGTTCCAAGACACATCCTATTGACATTGAGGCGTTAAGTGACAGCCCTGTATCTTTTCATCAAGTTGAAAAACATGTGGAAAATGCTGACGCATGTCGTGAAGTAGGTGGTGCCATTAAAGAAATCGATTCCATGAATGAAGACAATAAACCAGATAGTGAAGCGGCTCTTAAAATTAATTCATCAACTTGTCAGTCATTAATCTGTGACGAAATTCAAACGGTAATCAAAAACTATCAACAAAGCCAACTGGAAAACTATGTTGATAGTGGTTCGATGCAGATGATTAATGGTTTATTTGAGAAAGGCTTACAATCGTTGGCTGAAAGTTGTCAGGAATTTTTTTCTATATCTGACGAGGCGTTTAAGAAAAAATCTACAGAAATAATTAAGGACAACTCTGCATCTGAGGGGGATTTCGGCGCTTTGAAACAGTCTGAGCAATCTGATTTAATAATTGATAAAGTTTTAAATAAGCAATCTGATGAAAACTGCAATGAAAAAGTTGTAACTGTTCTTAACACGAAGGATGAAGAGGATCCTCAATTGAACTCAATTGAACCAAAAGAAACAAATGGTTTGAAAAACGACCACGGTTCTCAAACTGTAATAAACAATGATATTGAGTTAAATGAATTTACTGATGTTGCAGGCAGCTTAACCCGACTAAGACATTATGAATCAACGTTTGAAATATCTAGAGTTGATAAGACTAATAATATAATTGAACATAAATTGTTTAAGTCGGACGACTTAACACTTATTCGAAAACTGGTATTTGATCTGCATACTGGAGTCAGGCTATTTCCCTAAATAATTCTTATTAATACAAAATACTATAGCAAAATTATTAATGTACGTATTTGCAAAATATAATAGACATATAATTATATAATTAATATAATTAATATAATTATTCTTTAAATTTGCAAATATCAGGTTATTTATTTTTCCTTTAATTTCATGGAATGTCTTTCCTTCTCAATATATGATTTGAGGAACTATTGAGACTATTGGTTTTTTGAATATGCGTATTTGTTATATCAGTTTTTAAAGTGATCAGTAATTTGCATTGTTTGTAACAAACCTAGAAAGAATATTTAAATAATATAAATAAAAAAAATAAAATAAATTCAAACAGAACACTAGTGTTTTATATTAATTTCATCGACACAATTTTATTTATATGATCGAAAAAACAGTTAATTATAAATCAACTCACTACTGCCGAAGAATATACTATTTCGACTTATGAGCATATGTTTAGCCGACTAACCCATTTTATGGCGTACTAGCCGACTAACCCATTTTTCTAACCCAAATATATTTCCCTTGATCTTGATTGATTGATCTTATTTAAAATCAGTTTTCTGTCCAACGCACAAATTAACCACACTCTCCTATTATTTGACGACTCTCATTGTAGTCTTAATATATAGAATACGGTAGCCAGCGTCTATAGCTGAATCGTCCATTGGGCATGATTGGACTTATACTGATGTCTACACAAGACTTAGAAGCGTTTTACTGAACTCTGCAAAAAAATTAGAATTCTTACGCCAGAAGCTTTTAGCGTGAGTGGACAGCATTCTCATTATGGTAAATCCCATTGACATTTTAAACTCTTCACAATTTTGTTAAAAACTATTTCGAGTACATTTGATTAACGGTTATTCCATTTGCTTTGATAAGTAAATGTCATATGGCGTAAAAAAATATTTGCTCCGTTTTGGTGCTTTATCGAATGCTCAATATTTGTGTAAATTTGCATAGCTTATTGATTGATAATTGATTCTTACATTAAATTATTTTTGAGCAAAAATCGACAAATGTAAATTGTAATCAATTTCTTGCGTAGAGAAAAGACACAAAGCGTTCTATTGCAAATGTTATGTTTCCTGTTGATATTTTGTCATTTTTGCACAAAATTTCGAATGCGGGAAACTTATGAACATTCGAAAATACATATTTACTTACTATCTGCATTTGCTTGTATGTGTACCTGTTTGTGTATATTAGGTAAAGCATATGCACTGTTACTTCACCTATGGATGATTTCCCATAACAAATGCAAATCAAAGAAAAACTAAGTTGCACCTGAGCATATTCACAACAGAAATTGATATGAAATTGAATTGATTAGTTGCAAGCAAATAGTACTACCATATATACACAAAAAAATGGCAGTTACGTTAACACATATACACACACACATATACATACCTCTATATCTATATATATATATATTCTTGTTATAGACAGACAATCAAAGAGACAGGCTGGCAAAATATAAAAGTAGTGAAAATAAAGTTCTCAAAAATAAGATAAAAAAGAAATTATACTAAAAGAAAACAAAAAATAAAAATAAAAATAAAAATAAATGAAATAAAAAGAAAACTAAGAAAACTAAGCTATGAGAATAATAAAGCAAAATTTCGCTCAAAGGCATATGAAACATTTCTATTGTAAAAATATCAAATAAAATTGATTGCATATTTCTAGGTTGAAAGCTCTTAGCACAATGTCTATGCACATTTTATATGTAAATTTAAAAATAACAATGATCCAACTAAAGGAAATACTAAGAGCAACGCGTTTCGTCTCTGAAGTTTCAGGTGCAGTGCAGTGGCTCAGCCAATGCCGACAACTTATTTTGGTTGGCAACAGACACACAAAGGCAGCGTAAAGGATGAGGATGGAATGTAAAAGAAACTGAAGCATTGTTTTCGGGATACTGAGAAAAATGTTTTTTTTTTGGAATATATAACATTTTTATAAGCAGAAATCACATTTAAATCAATTTCAGCTTACTTTGTTTAACGAAAACAAAAACGCAGTCCTTTGAATTTGCAGAAAATGCGGGAATGTGCCAAGTTTTTTCTCTTTTTGCCGTTCGATAAAATTCCTGTTCAATTGATACTAAAAATATAACTGTTATCCATCCACCTTGATGCGTCAATAATATTGGAATTATTATTTCATACAAATAAACAGTGTTAGAAATAGTGATAGAAATAGTGATTAATCACAGTCTTGAACGCAGAAATGCATTGCAGTTCTCTAACTGCATTTATATTAAATCAATTAAGCTAAGAAATAAGAAAATATACAGCTTTAATAAAATTTAAATTTCTAACATTAACTGAAATGCATATTATAAATATTTAACCTCTTCATTAAAGCGACTATTTCATTAAATCATTTCATCAAAAGTGCAGTTGTCATTTTAACATTCCGTGTTCATAGATCACGCTCATATCATGTGAGCAGTTTTAGTCCCAGTGGTGATCCAAGCCACAGTACGAATAAATAGATGCGGTAGGCACAGCTCTCAATCTTCGTTGTGCTTTTATTCAAGAAATTTCAGATTTTCAATAATCAATTAACATCTAATATTTCTTTCTGCATTTCTACTTCTTGTAATTCTTTCGACTTAATTTTTTACAATTAAATTCTTCTTCAGTCTATAATTTCAAATCAAGCACTCATATGGTACTATTAAATGTTCAAAACTACCTAATAACCATACCGCGTGTGTATATACTTTTCTAAGTGATGTATGTTTTAATATATATCAAAAAATAATAAGAAAAGTGCGGCGGTTGTTGTTGTAAGTTAAAATCTGCATCGTAGTTATCTACTCTCAGGAGTGTTGCAGCACGCCTTAATTTTAATTTGCTAACGCAATTTTAATAATTTTTTAAACATCTTCTTTTTTCCACTTAGGGGCTACAAAATAATGTAACTAAAAAAACGTCCCACCTTATGTCCATATCAGTTTTTAATATTTACTTACTTAGTTGACCATTACAGGCGTCATTCGTCCTTGGCTGCGTCGAGTAGCCTCCGCCAGCCAGAGCCTAATCAGTTGCTTGCTGTCCTGTCCTGGTACCTGGTCCTTCCACCGAAAATGTGGATATCTTCTACTCCGTTTTTCACCTAAAGGTACCTAATCAAACATCTTCCTAGCCGGAGCACTTTATTCCATTCGAACGACATAACCAAGTCAATAAAGCCACTAAATTTGGGGAATGATTCCAGGTAAAGTAACGTTAGGTTAAAGTAGTCATACAACAAGCAGTCACACTGTCTAATACCTCATTTGGTATCAAACAGCTGGCAGAGGTTCTTCCTGATTCTGACGGAGCTGGCGATGTTGCTCAACGCCATTTCACACAACCGTAAAGTTTCGCTGGAATATCAAATTTAAACATAGCGGGATAGAAATCGACAAATGGATGGTCTGTGTCGATTTGTTTTTCTTGCATCTTCTGCAGGATTTGCCACACTGAATGCTTTGTCAAGTCTAGAATTGACAGGTCTGAAGCCATACTGATAACATCCAATCAGTTAGTTGACGATTGGGTTCAATCTTTAATATAGTACGTTGTTGTACCCTAAATAGTACGTACATCCAAGACACTGAAAGCATGTCCTCCGTCGAACACAATGTGATCAATTTGAGACCTTGCGTTTTGTCAGGTCTATGTTGTCTTATGTATGATGAGATGCTGGATTTTGGTACTATTAACGACCATGTTTCAAGCTGAAGCGAAATCAATCAGCCTTCCTCCATTATCATATTTTTGTATGAAGGCTGAACTTTCCGACAATAGCACCAAATATGTCTTCTTTACCCACCTTTGCGTTGAAGTCTACAATGATTCATGTGGAAAAATAAGGGTGATGGAGAAAAATTTTGCCTTAAAACGGATTTTGGTAAGAATTTAGTTCGTTTATTGGTGTAAATGTTGAAACCAAGTTTCTCAACATTCAAATCCGACTCCGAATTCGTGCTTTATTGCATAGTAGCTGCAGTAGATGTCACAATGTTCTCGTTTAGAGCATCCATGTCGCATTTCGTGGAGGGTGGTATTGTCAGCATTATATTTCTTGAGGATATTAACCAACTGTATAGATACACCTTTTCTGTAAAGAGTTTGGACTTTAAAGATGCATATTTTTAAATCCTGTTCCATATAATGTTTGCGTGTGGCGTCAATAGTATACGGTTTTCTTATCTGAGACTGACTCTTAGTTTTAATTGGAGTTGTATTTTCAGATGATGGGTTCCAAGCCTGACATATACCGTCATATATTCATGAGAATAATTTCGCTGCACACTTTTTTTCACTACGCACGGGTGATTGTAACTATCCAGCGTATTATTATTGACATAAAAAATTTTAATCGAAATATTACTGTGATATTATCTTTGTTCCTCCACCTCACTTCCTGCCTAACGCTTGGTGTTAATTCTTAATCTCCTATAAAATATAATCGTTACTACAATCGTTTGTGTACTTATGTATTATATACCCGATCAGTTCTTAAATTGTAGCCAAAATTGTGTTCAATTTAGTGATTATAATGCTCTCATGTTCTAAAAACACAATTATCGTAATTATAAAATATACTAGGAATTATTTTGAAGCATATTAGTTTATAAGTACACATAGCAAAGGTAAAGTTTAACATTATAATTGCGTATAAACACACATCCCCACCCATCAAACAACTTGAAACAACTTGGAACTATGCACAGTGCCCATATCAAATGGAACGCTGTAGTCTAAGTTGTGTGTATCTATGGAAATCTGTGGAAATCTGTGGAAATCTGTGTACGTGTCTCGAAGTTGACATTGTTGAACGGAGCCATGAATAAAATTTGTCAAAATGTTAGAAGCGAGCAACAAATAATATTGCTTTATGCTCTCAGATTGTGCATTTGTACGATGTATGTAATCACGTGCGTATATTTTTCTGTGGAAGAAACTATTTTAATTATAGTTTTATGTAGTTAAATTTGTGATTTTGTTAACGTATAAATTTCAACGTTAAATGTGTTAACTACGCAAGTAGATTTCG